TGGCGGGCGGCTGGCGCAGGCCGGGAGCCTCCGGGAAGCCCGCCTTCCTCCCGCCGCCCCGCTGCCGCCGGGGTCCTCACGCTCCGCTTGGGGCCAGGCCGGCTCGCAGGACGGGGGGGCCGGGCTGCGAGTCGGAGGCTGCTCTGCGAGTTTTCCTCCCCACGTGTGGGCTGCAGGGAAGCGGGGTGGGGAACACAAACGAGCCCGGCAGCTCAGAAACCCGAGGGCTGTCTGCCGGCTAAGTGTCCCCCTGGCTGCAGCGACCTGCTTGCCCCAGGGCGCGTCCCAGCGTGCCGAGCCGGGGGACAGACGGGGGAGAGAGGGAGAAGAAGGATGGAGAGCAGGGGAGGAGACACGCAGAGTGGCCGAGAGACAGTGAGAGCGAGAGACTTTGGGCGCGTAATAGCTGTGTGGGCCCTCCCGTTACCTCTGCGCGGCGACATTGGCGTCCACCACTCCGACATTCCGGACCCAGGACCTGACCGAATCCATCTCGGCGCCCAGCGATTTCTCTTTCAGAGCTGGTCCTCTTCCCAAAGTATCTTGAATCCCAAACATTTAAAAAGTCTGATCCTTTGCGGGCGCCTTAAAAGTAAGAGTTAGCCACCACCCAGTCCTGGCGGTTCCCAACGCGGCCAGCAAGCCGTCGCCTCCAAAAAGCAATCCAAGAAAAGGGACCGAGTGCTGAAGTTTGAGTCCTTCGTAGGGAGGAAAAAAGAAAAAAGATAACCCGTCCTTGGCTTCACTGGCGAGGTGCGGACCGAGGCCGCCGAAGTGTGGGTGTTTGTCCTCTGCGCGATCAGACCCGCCGCCTTGGCCCCTCCGCCCTAGGTCGTTCGCATCCTTCCAGCCGCAGCGCTGCCTCCTGCAAGTGATCACAGTTTAGAAGCATCACCTGTTCCGGGAGAAACTGGAGGAGATTGACGGCTGCCTAATCTCGCCCCTTCCTCCTGGCCCCCCTCCCTGCTCCTCCCCCCCGCTCCAATTTAGAAAGCCAAAAGCACCCCCCAACAGGATCGGTTGT